TAGCCGTGCAGAACTCCGAACAGGAGGCTTACTAAAATCGGGAGAGGTGGCGAAAATGCTTCCGTAACAAAGGGGCTGATGTCCACAACACAGGACGAAAGAACTTAAAAAAAAGGCTAACACCGTTAGCAAAGTTCCAACAGCACCTGTAACGAGGATCCGTCGCAGCCCTAGGAGGGCGACACACCGCAACTCCGGCCAACAGGCAGTCGGGCGTCCAACGAAGGTAAAAATATCCAAAAATCCAAAGGACGATGCCATACAAAGCGAACCACACGCGAGAAGAAAAGAAGAACAGAGCCTCGGTTGATGTCATGCTATATAGCCTCTGATTGATCATCCGATATGTCACAGGTGTGTTGATATTATTGCTTGAACAGCGCATGTGCGAAGGGAACATTCAGTGCTTTCAGCACCGCCCTCTGGCGGTCAGTAGGGATGAAATAGAACATCAGCACCTGAACTAGCTGAACCATGAGGACCCGAAATAGCATTAACAGAAGCAGCTGCCCCAGATGCCCAGCCTATTGTGTACCCTGTGAACTCTGTGGATGTTCATGCTCTGAACCTGTTGATGCAGCGTCACTGTTGTTGGCCTTAGTAATTTGTTTTTGTGGACAGGAACGGACAATATGGCCCTCCATTCCACAGCCAAAGCACTTTATTCTTTCCGATGAACCAGAAACGGTGTAATCAAAGTCATCCACTCTAAACCTAAATGTCAAATTTAGCTCCTCAGTGTTATTTTTCAAAACCATTAAGACCTGCCTTCTAAAGGAAACTACATGTTTAAGGTCAGTTTAATTGGTGACATTAGCTGCCCATGTTGCCAGTTCGCCAGAGGGGGTCACTTCTGGAACAGCCTCCAAACAAACATCAGGGAATGTTCCACCTACTGCACATTTAAAAAGCACCTTAAACAGTTTCTTAAAAGTTCCCAGACATGCACCCACTAATTTTATTGTTGTAATGTCATTGTCTGAACGTGTGTCTTGACTGATATTGTATAATTTGATTTTGTGTTGTTTCGTCTTCCTGCCTCAGGACGACAGATGTAAATTAGCAAATATGCTATATTCTGGCTCATTTTCAATCTCTACTGAAGTGTGAGATTGTTCATTAATGAGCACTGTCCTGATTAAATAAATAAATAAAAAATAAAATAAAACGGAGGAACTTGTTACAGGATGATCTTTTTGGCCGATTAATTAGCTGCACCACCTGGACAAAGGTGTCCTGAATGACCACACCTTGCTCGACAACCTAGCTGACTTTCTCAACTCTATCCAGAAAGATGATGACTCAATTGTTCATTCTATAAGCGGACTTCACACTTTCATAGCTGACCATTTCTCCAATCGCTAAACTGCAATCCTCCACGGAGCAAACTCTGTGTTGGCATGTGAGCTTCTCCAGCCCTATGAGTTGGCATGACCCCGTTGAAAATCGTGCGTCACTGCCCAGGAAACCACCCACCACAAAAAACACAAACCGCAAAACTAACATTCAACAAACAAAAGAAAACAAGGAATTAAAAAGATAGAAAACACTCTTGTGCTGAAACGCACACCCACTCTAAGTCCTCCACTCCCAGCATGAACTCAGAGAGAGAGAGAGAGAGAGATTTTGATTTTTAACACCAACATTTATTTACACTGTGCAAAAAAACATACTATATGAAATTACTAAATACTTTTATATTTACATGTATAGCAAAAAGTAAGAATATCAAATCTCAAAAACTAATTGACGCTCTGTCACAGAGCAGAGCCTTCCCCAACCCCAAACCAGCTCAAACATTTTCAGGTCATATGCAGCTCTGTAAAAACCGAAATCCAACAGCAGTTTGGACTTCTCTCAAAAATGAGACCACATCAACACTTAACCCTTCTTCCACCATCCGTCTCTGTCACTGCCATCTTTGCCTATCCTAAGGCAAAGTTCAATAGCTGAAATTTGTTCTTCTTTTGGCGAGTGTATCTAAAACCACAAATAACAATCTGCTTTGTAAAAACCTCTCCACATCAAAGTAAAATATCTTGCAACAGCACAAACAAATCCGTCAGACATATGTACTCTGAGAAGCAGTGAAACACTGTCTCTCTTTCACTGCAGAAGGGACATTTGTCTTCTACATCAGCATTAATACTGTCACAATCCGGTCCTGGGTTTCCACATACTGCCAGCTCTGCCAGTACTTTTCCGGACTGTCTGCCTCATCAGTGCAACCACCTTCACCTGTGTTCACTCACCTGATTTAAACCCACTCTTTCCTCTCAGTCTCTGCCAGATTGTCTTTAGTGTCATGCAAAGCTTTCCAGCGTTTTCTTCCGGACTGCCTCACTGGTTTCGACCCTGCCTGCCCCTGACTCGTCCTCATCGTTCCAGCCCCGGTAACCTGAACAGCCTTCTGCCTCTGACACCTCCGCCTGCCTGCCCTTGTCTGCCTCCAGTTTGTTGGGAAAATAAACTGTTGAACTGTTCATCGCTGGTCTCAGTCTGTGCTGTACTTGGGTCCAGCTTCACACCCATTACAGTACAATCTGGCCAAGAATGGACCCAGCCCAGATTGACGACCGGATATCTCGGATGGAGGTTATGTTAAATCAGCTGGTTGCTGCGTCAACGGCCGCCAGGGCAGAGAATCAGCAGGGCCTGGCACAAGTACGACAGGAACTGGAGAACATCCACGCCCGCACCCAAGTTCTGGAGCAATCACCTGCCTCGCTGGGGGCCAGTTCTTCACCACTGGCTTCGGCAAGTCCTGCTGCTCCTTCACCTGTCTCGTCAGGAGTTGGTGCTCCTCTCCCTTCGCCCCGTGAGCCTCAAGTGGGAGCACCGGAGCGTTATGATGGCGATCCTGTCACCTGTAACGCCTTTCTCTGCAACTGCTCCATCATCTTTTCCCTGCAGCCGCTCACCTTTTCCTCCGAGGAGGCCAGGGTGGCTTATACCATTAACCACCTCACTGGGCGGGCACGTCTTTGGGGCACAGCAGAGTGGCAGAGGGGGACCAGAGCCTGCCACTCTTTCCTGTCCTTTGCCAATGAGCTCAGGAGGGTCTTTGGTACCGGACCTCTGGGGGCTGAAGCTGGACGAGAGTTGTTGGATCTGGTCCAGGGAAGCCGCTCTGTCACAGACTATGCCATAGACTTTCGCACCAAGGCCCCTATGTGTGACTGGAACCCGGCCGCTCTCCGTGATGTCTTTATGCGGGGGCTGGCTGGGTACATTAAAGATGAACTTGTAGCTTATGAACTGCCCGCTACACTGGAGGAGCTAATTGAGCTCGCCACCCGTCTCGACCTGCGCATCCAGGCTCGCAGGAGGGAGAGACGCTCAGAGTTCCAGTCACGTCCTGCCCGGCCACACAGTTTCCCTCACTCCAAGTCTCCAGTAACTCCTGCCTTCTCTACGTTTGCCTCAACCGCTCCTGTAAGGGTGGAAGATCCTGAGCCCATGCAGCTGGGTCGCACCCGCCTCTCACCTGAAGAGAGGGAGCGAAGGCAGAAACAGAATCTCTGTATGTACTGCGGCCAGCCAGGACACTTTGTCAGCCAGTGTCCAGTGTCCAGTAAAAGCCAGGGCTCGCCAGTGAACGGAGGCATACTGGTGAGCTCCATCGTTCGTCCTGCCTCCCCTCAGAGACCTCGCCTTACCGGTGAATTCCTGCTGCCTTCTGGCTCCCACTCCATCGCCATCCTCGTCGATTCAGGGGCCGACGAGAGCATTATGGACCAGGCTCTCGCTCTCCGGCTTGGACTCCGCCCTGAGAGACTATCATTGCCCATCTCTGCCAGCGCCCTGGATGGACATGTGCTGGGGAGGGTTACATCTCAAACCAACCCTGTGCGCATGCTACTGCCAGGGGGCCACAGTGAGACCATCCAGTTCCTGCTCCTGTCTACCCCAAACCAGCCTGTCATCCTGGGGTATCCCTGGCTTCGCAGACACAACCCCAACATTGATTGGACTACTTGTTCCATCAGGGAGTGGGGAGAGACCTGCCAGCGGACCTGCCTCAGGACACCTTCGGTGTTACCTGGTTCTTCTGTTCCTGCTCCAGCTTCTGATATCACAGGAGTTCCAGCAGTTTATCATGACCTGAAAGAGGTGTTCAACAAGGCTAAGGCCACCTCCCTGCCACCTCACCGCTCCTATGACTGTGCCATAGACCTACTCCCGGGCACTTCACCTCCCAAGTGACGCTTGTACTCTCTCTCTGCCCCGGAGAGAAAGGCCATGGAGGAGTACATACAAGACTCCTTAGCGGCGGGGATCATCCGTCCTTCCTCTTCACCAGCTGGTGCAGGGTTTTTCTTTGTGGATAAGAAGGACAAGTCTCTTCGGCCCTGTATAGACTATCGTGGTCTTAACAATATTACAGTTAAGAACCACTACCCCCTCCCACTCCTCTCCACAGCCTTTGAACTGCTCCAGGGGGCAACAGTGTTCTCCAAGCTCGACTTGAGGAATGCTTATCATCTGGTTCGCATCCGGGAGGGAGATGAGTGGAAGACGGCCTTCAACACACCAACAGGACATTATGAATACCTGGTGATGCCCTTTGGATTGACCAACGCCCCGGCCGTTTTCCAGACTTTGATCAATGACCTGCTGCGGGATATGCTGAACAAGTTTGTCTTCGTTTACCTGGATGATATCCTGATTTTTTCTCGTAACCAGGAGGAACATGTCACTCATGTCAGAGCTGTCCTCCGCCGCCTCCTGGACAGTTCCCTATATGTCAAGGCAGAGAAATGTGTATTTCATGAACCCTCAGTCTCCTTCCTGGGATACATCATTGCCAAGGACAGCTTGCAGATGGATCCAGCTAAGGTCTCAGCGGTGACCTCCTGGCCCGTCCCAGAGACACGCAAGCAACTGCAGCGTTTCCTGGGGTTTGCCAATTTTTACCGCCGTTTCATCAGAGGTTTCAGCTCCATTGCCTCTCCCCTCTCGGCCCTCACCTCATCCAAGAGATCCTTCCGCTGGACTGACGAAGCACAAGGCGCCTTCGACACCCTCAAGACTCGCTTCTCCACTGCTCCCATCCTCCAGATCCCCGAACCGGAGTGCCAGTTCATTGTGGAGGTGGACGCATCCGGCGTGGGGGTAGGGGCGGTTCTGTCTCAGCGCTCCCCCAGCGACCAGAAGATTCACCCCTGCGCCTTTTTCTCTCGCCGCCTAACCCCCACAGAGAGGAACTATGATATTGGTAACAGAGAGCTTCTGGCGGTGAAACTGGCATTGGAGGAGTGGCGCCACTGGCTGGAGGGAGCCAAGGTGCCATTCATTGTGTGGACGGATCATCGCAACCTGGAATATATTCGATCTGCCAAGAGACTAAATTCCAGACAGGCCCGCTGGTCACTGTTCTTTGACAGGTTCAACTTTACACTGTCCTATCGACCCGGGTCTTGGAACATTAAACCAGATGCACTTTCCCGGCAGTTTCCTGAGTGTCCGGATAATACGATTGAGCACTCCACCATCGTTCCGGCCTCCTGTCTCATTGCCTCTGTCACTTGGGAGATAGAGGAGAGGGTGCGGGCTGCCACTGAGGACCAGCCTGGTCCTAGTTCCTGTCCCCCTGACCTTTTGTTTGTCCCGGCTCACCTCCGCTCCGATGTTCTCCAGTGGGGGCATGCTTCCCGGCTGACTTGCCACCCTGGCATTCAGCGGACCCGAGACTTCCTGCAGCAGCGCTTCTGGTGGTCATCACTGGAGGAGGATGTCCGAGGCTATGTCAACGCCTGTCCTGTGTGCAACCAGAACAAGACCTCTCGTCGTCCTCCAGCTGGCTTCCTGCACCCATTGCCTGTTCCTCATCGCCCATGGTAACACATCTCCCTGGACTTTGTAACTGGCCTACCTACATCCAAAGGCCACACTGCCATCCTCACAGTTGTCGACCGTTTTAGCAAGATGGTCCACTTCATTCCCCTCTCCAAGCTTCCATCTGCTAAAGAGACAGCTGAACTGGTTCTCCAGAACATTTTTCGTCTCCATGGACTGCCCACTGACATTGTCTCTGACCGGGGTCCCCAGTTCACGTCTATGTTCTGGAAGGAGTTTTGCAGTCTCGTTGGCGCCTCCGTCAGTCTGTCTTCTGGCTTTCACCCCCAGTCCAATGGGCAGACTGAGAGAATGAACCAAGACCTGGAAACCACTCTTCGCTGCTTGATCAACCACAACCCTTCTTCCTGGTCGGCACAACTCATCTGGGTAGAATACGCCCACAACACCCTCACCTGCTCTTCCACCGGACTTTCGCCCTTCCAGTGCGCATATGGGTATCAGCCCCCGCTATTTGCCAACCAAGAGAGGGAGGCTGCCTGCCCATCGGCACAAGCCTTCGTTCACCGTTGCCGGCGTACCTGGGACCAGGCACGTACTGCACTGCAAAAACAGACCTACTAGAAAGAAGCAAAATATTCTTAAATTCAATCAAATTATCTTGTATCTAGCAAAAAAATCTGCCAATGGGGTAAGCTTTTTTTACTTGACAAGAATTCTTAAAATAAGCACAAAATTCTTGCTTCTGACAGACTAAAATGGGCCTTAAAACTAGACAGAAAATCTTAAATATAAGTAAATTCTTCTATAAAAAGGCAATGAAAACCCATTTATTCAAGATTAATTTACTTAAAATAAGAATTTTGGTCTCTTGACTGAGTTAACTTTAAGAAATGACACCTTAATCTAGGACTAATAATAAGTATAAAAGTAGTTAAAATAAGACACAATTTCTTCAAATAGCATTATAAAAATAAGTGACTTTGTCTTAAATCAAGACACCAAAACATTCTCATTTTTAATATTTTTTATTTTTATTTGCAATACAATAACTTGATTTAACATCCATCAAAAAACAGAATGTTATATCTGCTATTGTTACAGCATATTATAACAATAAATATAATTTGCAGCTGCAGTTATCAATTTCACCAACAAATGTGACAGTGATAAACCTTTTGTGAAACAGAACTTTGACTTTCTTTGAAAGTCTTACATGAGATAGAGTGAGGCAGTGTCAAGGAACAAACACAAGAAACAAAGAGACTCACTCAATGAAGGACTTCCACTCGCCAATGGCTTTTTTGTAGGAAGGGGTCAAATCTTGCTCATGAATAGAATCAAGGAGAATTTCTGTTTGCACTACTGACAGAAGTGTGGAAATACACTTTGGGTAAGTGAGGTGCAGGGCATAGTAATATGCCATGAGGTAGAGCAGTCCCTCATCAAACCTCTCAATGTTGAAGGTGGTCACTGGCATGTTTCCAATGGCGATCATGCAGTTTTCCTCAGAGACAAGCACGACTGGACAAGACAGTGGTCGCTGGCGCAGGAAACCATCAGGATCCTCTGAAGTCTAGATGACACAAATCAATGTATAGGGTTAGAAAAACAACACAAATAACAGACACTTTGACCTGGAATAGGACATTGGTGAAATCATAATTGTACTTCAAAACATATAGTCACAATAATCCCTGAGAGGGAGAAGATGTTGTACTGTCATTGTTGAGTACTGCAAATACTGAATGCACGACAGCTACTGTTGTTCAAATTAAGTTAGTATTACAACAACTACACTATGGAGAACACTTCCCCTTTAGACCTTTTGAAATAATAAAAAGTTTATCTCAAAGTAACTAAACCTGACATAAAATGTATGCGTGAATAACTAAAACATATAGTATGAAATATTGCAGTAAGTCCATAAATCTCACCGTAAGGACATGGAAAAGAGCCTCGCTGCTTAAGCCCAGCTTCTTAGGTGGCATGGTGCTGGACGGGAAGAGCAGTGGCAGGGCTCGGAACACAGCTGTGACATGCTCCACTGGTTTAATGGAAAAGGCACAAGACAAGGTGCTACCATAAATAACTTATGACACATTATTATTTAAAATAAACAAGTCAATGTATTGACTTTACCTCCATTCAAAGTTTTAGGAGGCTTCATGGTTTTTTTCATCACCCCATAAAACTGGACCTTTGAATAGAAGGTTTCCCATCTGCTCTTCATCTCAGAGATGTATTGGGAGTTGGTTGGTTGGATGATTCGCTGCAGCTCATCCAGCACCTGAAAAATATATTCAGATACAGAAAGAAAATTCACTGAAGAAAATGTTCACTGCTAGTCCTTGTCAAACATTTGAATGACTAACATTCTTCAAAAAAGATCTATAATGTCTAAGGTACCGTATATGAACATTATGGCAATTATGTCGTGCTAAAATAAGTCCTTGGAAGAACTGAAAATGTGGACTGAATAGGACCACCATTACTTACGTGGTCCAGTTCTCGGAAACATGGGAAAGCCTCTAGAATCTTTGTTGGTCTGTCTTGCTCCTTTAACAGATCAGACGTGATGAAGCGTCTTCGAGACTCAAATTCCAGGTTCAGCAAATGAGTTATCGCAGCTTTGTTTGGCTTTTTGGACTTGAACATTTCTTGGAGGGTCTTGTAATGTCTTGCTTGGGTTTTCGGGCTGTCCTTGAGGTCAACTGAACCAGCTGAAGTCATTAGAGGGAAGTTATGGTGGAAAGAGGATATGATAAGTTGTCAGTGAAACTCAGGAATTGTAAAGAAGTAATTAATGTTCATTTCACTTGATATAAAAGCAAAACATTGGACAATAGAATACATATGCCTTTGGACAGACACTGAAAGATTTGAAAGCTGCTGAATGTCCAGGGTATGTCATATGAATTAACTCAGCCAAAGTGATACAATACATACATGTTTCATCACTGCTGTCCCGGCTCTGCAGTGGGGTGCTAGCTCTAGGTGACAGATCTATCACTGAGATGCCCATGGGACTAACAGGTGACCGTTCCAGAATAATTGTGGATGCACTGGAATCTCCATCGTAGTCAGTGGTTGAAATGTCTGAAGTGACTTCCACATCTTGTCGTGGTTTCTTTGAAGGAGGAGCTTTGGCCTTCCTTGGACTTCTGACATTTGAGAGTCTCTTCATGAGCTTTTTAGCAACATGCTCCTGCGAGGCATACATAGTAAACATTAAAAAAATGACATGACAACTTGAGACTCAAGTTTTCTTAAACTGAAATTACAGCTTTCAGCAAAGTCTAGCTCCATTTGAACCTTTTGTTATGGTTTAGCACTGTATGAGTAGAATTTATCGAAATCGTACAGTTAACATCATACCATCAACAAGCAATAGTGACAAAAATATACTCACCCACTCACTGTTGGATGACTTTTCTTTTATCATCGGATAGTAATCCACCAACCGTTTTGCCATGGCATTCACCTCATGTTTGGTGGGGTATCTGCAGTCCTCTGTGGCTCTTGCGATAGCAATCATATTAGTCATCGTGTTTCTTATGAGTCGGCAGAAGAGCTCCTTGGATAAGGCCACGCTGTGCTCGGTCCCCAGCCGTTTCTGCTCAAAGTAGTAGCGTCGTGCCTGTTCAAGCTCACTGTCTGTGAAGACTATGTATTCTGGGTTGGACATAGTCACAAATTTAGAAGTACTGGCCTCTTCTTTTGAAGGGTCGCTGCCACCAGTAGGGGGTGACTGCAGAATTTCAGGAGCAGCATCCACCTACAATACATTTACACAAACATTTTATTGAATAACTTTATCTTTTAGTGGATTAAAAAAAAACTTGAAAAAAAGCACATGTTGGACTGTTGAAAGGGACTCAAAGCAGAAATGTCTAAAATAATGAAATATTATGGATATGGACCTGAATTGAAGTTACATAACATTTCTGTGATATTGAAATATCTGTTATACTGTTAAACAGTTCTGTCATACGGTGAAAGACAGACCTTACCTTTTCATCTTTATTTACAACAAGCCATATAGCCCGGCGCCTCAAGAAATTTTCAGGCCCAGGAAACAGATCTTTGATGTCATCACGGGAAAGCAAAGGTAATAAGTCTTCTCCAATATTAGCAGCTGCAATAAAGACAAGTTACAGTCAGTACTAAGACATTGATGTTATCATTGAATTCCTTTAGATTTGAACATAGCAACACCCTGACACCTCTTGTACAGTTTAAATTAGATACATATATATTCAAGCCATATAAATTACAGTAAGAGTAAGTATAGAACCTTACTAGATAAAATGCATTCACATTTCACATTAGTTAATATATTGTGTAATGCTTGATAAAGAATGACAATTGTTTTTTTTATTTTTAATTAAAAAGTACTAGCTTGTGTTTTTGTCACTTAGCCCATTAGCCTCTCTGACGCTAGGAATTAACAACTCGTTAAGCTAGGTTAGCTACGTAAAATATAACATCAGCACAACATAAAAGAAAGCCTTTTAACATACCTTTGAGTGTGGCAATTGAAATATCATCCAGTTTATCCATAATTCCACGCCACTGATATCCACATTTGACACTCCACAATGATGGGTTACCAGCAGTGACACACTACCAAAGCCGTTATTTTTGAAAACGCAACGAACAAACTTCTGGAGGGAAAAACCAGAGCGCAACACGGTGGATTGTACCATCTGCACAGAGGGAGCGGGGGTGGGCGCTCACCCTAAATACGTTTATTTTGCATTTATACAAATTAAATTAATCTAAATAAGTTTATATTACTTTATAACTATTAAAATAGAATCACATCAACGTCATAATTAATAAATAGAAGGTCGTTTCTGTCCTTATAAGGCACGGATTTATGTTATGTACCCTTGGTATCACATGATGTATGAGGTCATCTTGGGGTCAGAGGCAAAAGCGGTACATGGCAGCTAGCTAATGTAGGCTAAAAACAGGTGGGAAAATGGTTTGGCGCTGTGTTATTTGCTTTGTGTTTGTGGCCCTCACTCTCAAATCTTTATTGAGTCATATAAATTCTGCACATAGTCGTAGTCCAGATTTTCGCGTTGTTTGTGGAATCGATGGATGTTCCAAAGAGTATCGAATCTACAACTCACTGTGGTATCACATTCGAAGAAACCACCGTGAACATCTGGAAAGTGGCGGGAGAGAGAGGACAGCAACAGCGACCTCAAGCCGGGAAGCCTCATCAGCGGTGAACAGAAACGTGTGGGGATACAGGCCAGCAACGGCGGAAAACAGAGAGCATCAAACGGGTGAAGCAGTGATGGAAAACGGAGTACAAGCTGAAGATGTATTGATTGAGGAAAACAGAGTGCAGCCCTGTCCATACTCTGTGTCTCCACAACATTTTGGAGCATTTGACAGTACGGCGTCCTTGTACTCTGGCTTTGACGATGACACCTTTATCTCCCCAAGTCATCCTGCTTTGTCCCAGACTGTTGATAGTACCTCAAATACAACTTTGAATATTGCGGATGTTCCATGTCCTGCTGCAGTTGACTCTTCTGCATCATGTCAATCAAAGGTAATCCAATTGTTTCCTTCAGTACACAATAAATGTAATAATTAATTGTCGCATACTGGGCACTACTGAAAACAACAGTATTGTATACTGGTGTCGTACGCAGTAAGCAGTATGGGGTTTTGAATACAGCCCAAGTTTCATGAGTGGGCCATATTAATATTTATAGTTATATTTTTTGACACCTCTGAGCTAAGCCCTATCATCATTCTTTTTGTTTATGTCTCAGCATACCAACACAAATCTCAACTTGATTGTTAGCATATCTGTGTTTGTGGCAACATTGTTTTTACACACTGAATTTTCTATTTTTTAAAGGATGACGCCGGGCGTGACACTTTGACCAGCCAAGCTATTGCTATGATGTGCAAGAGAAAAACACCATCTTTCACAGGTCTGTTTATATACAACATTATTACAATTATTTAATCTGTGGCTTTGTTGATTATCTGCATGACACGTCCAGTCTTGGAAATTAGGTCAAAGGTGGTAGCCTTGACTGCTCTTGCTGTGAACTGTAGGCATAGGCCTACATCTCGATCTAAATCTTGCATATTTGTGCTGGTGCCTGCAGTTTAACACATTGTGTGTGTGTATCAATTAGTTGAAAAAGCATTGTTGTGTTGAAGTTACTTTCTATAAATGGGTTGTATGGTCATTTTCCTTATAGAAAGCATTACACAGTAATTTTAAAACTGGACTGTTTGAATTTGATTTGCTCTCCTTTCTTGTTTTTCAGCGAGGTGTGAATGACGTTTTGGCAGGAATGCAGCAATACCAAGCTCTGTTGGTGACTAATCTAAGGAGCCAGCTACAAACTGTATTCCAGCAACATCAAGGAAGTGAACTTGAAAAGGAAGCGATGGCGGTATTTGACCAGATTGAGGATCCATTTGCTTCTGTTGCGACAACATACAGGCAGGACAATGTGATTAAGGAAAATTTCAATTTTGTGGAGTCAGAGGAGGTTTCTGTGGGGTATACTGCCTGCTTGAAGAAAAAAGGGGCAACAAGGGTCCTCTCTACAATACCCAAATGTTTTCATTATATACCTCTGATCAAAAGTTTAGAACAGTTATTGTCCCATCCAAAGGTTTTGGAAATGATAGATCAGCCGCAGAAATACAGAAATGGGTATTTGTATGACATCATAGATGGAGAGCTCATGAAATCACACCCTCTTTTTTCAGCCCGGCCTTCTGCTTTACAGATAATCATTTACTCTGATGAAATTGAAATTTGCAACCCACTTGGATCTCATGCCTCCAAGAATAAGTTGCTAATGTTTTATTATACCCTGGGAAACATTAATCCAAAATATAGATCAAAACTAGCTGCAATCCGTCTACTTGCTATTGCAAAGAAAAGCGAGCTGTCTGAATGTGGAGTTGATGGAATTTTGGGCAGGTTGTATGAGGACTTGATAATGTTATATGGTGGTGTTAATATTCAAACTGGGAATGGTGAACGTGAAATATTTGGAGCATTGGTTTCGATATGTGGAGACACTTTAGCACAACATGAGCTTTGTGGATTTAAAGAGGGTGTTGGTTTTGCCTATAGTAAGTGCCGGCAGTGTGAATGTTCGTTTGAGGACATGCAAATGTATTTTGACGAGGACAACTTTGAGCTCAGGACACTAGAAAGACATGTCCGGCAGTGTGGTGACATTGAGAAGGCAAATACTGAGTATCTTAGAAACAGTTTAAAAACTACATTTGGCATCAACAGAAGGAGCAAGCTGGTAGAATTCCCGGCCTTTAACTTGATCCAACAAACACCCCAGGATATGATGCATGTAATTCTTGAAGGCATTGCTCCATTAGAAATAAAGTGTGTGATAAAACACTTAGTTCTTTTAGGTCAACTAGACTTGGATGTCCTCAATACTGCATTAGCTGGATTTCCCTACTCTCCACTTGATGTCAGAGACAGACCAAGCCCTATAGCTTACAGCACATTAGCTTCAAGTGATAATAAGTTGAAGCAGTCCTCAGGCCAAATGATTGTTCTACTAAAAATATTGCCATTCCTTATTGATTCAGTTAAAGATAATGAATACTACAAAATAATTCTTGAACTCATAGAAATTGTTAAAATTTTGTTTGCTCCTGTCATTGGTCTACAGACACTTAGCAAGTTGAAAACACTAATTGAACAGCATTTAAAACATATGAAAAATCTTTTCCCTGATAACAACATTACCCCAAAACAGCATTATTTGATTCATGCTCCATCGCAAATAAAGTTGCTGGGGCCAATGGTCCGTCACATGTGCATGAGATTCGAATCAAAACATTGTTTTTTTAAACAGTGGGCCTCAAAACTAAATTTTAGAAATGTTTGCAAGTCTTTAATAAGGCATAATCAAATGTATGAATGTTGTCAAAATGTAAGTCATTCTAAACACCCAATTTTTTTTAATGAGTGTGCATTGGGACCAACATCAGAAATACGCAACATGTCATATTTAAAAGAAAAAATGAGGGCTTTCCTTGGAAATGATGACATAAACAATGCAGTGTCTGTTAAATGGATTAATCTAAATGGTAATAAATACATACAGGAGAAGACATTACTTCTGACTTCTGTTAATTCCAATGATTTGCCTGAATTTGGACTTGTGAGCAATATCTATGTAATTAACTCATCATTATATTGTTTTGAGTTCCAGCAGCATAATACTGTTTGTTATGATAGAAATTACATGGCATATACAATAGAGATTCCAAACATGGCACAAGGAACTGAACTAATAACTGCTGATAGTCTGGTAGATTTCACTCCATATTACAGTTATACTCACAAGGATGTGACATATGTTCCTACGAAATATTATCTTGTAGATGTGCTTGGGCTACACAGAGCCTTGTCTGATGAACTGTAAAATGCACACTGTTTAATGTGTTGTTGTTTTTTTTGTTTCATGATTGTTTCTTCTTTTCATGTATCAAAATAACTTTAATCTGAATGATAAAACAGTTGTTGTATAGGCCAGCCTGATGGCCTGATGTCATCTTAATATGTTAAATATGAAGTTGCTGGTTCTGCCAGGTTCAGATGGCATGGGAACACATACAGTGGGGCAAAAAAGTATTTAGTCAGCCACCAACTGTGCAAGTTCTCCCACTTAAAAAGATGACAGATGCCTGTCATTTTCATCATAAGTCAACCTCAACTATGAGAGACAAAATGAGGAGAAAAAATCCAGAAGATCATATTGTCTGATTTTTTAAGAATTTATTTGCAAATTATGGTGGAAAATAAGTATTTGGTCAAAAACAAAAGTCCATATCAATACTTTGTTATATACCCTTTGTTGGCAATGACAGAGGTCAAACGTTTTCTATAAGTCTTCACCAGGTTCTCACACACAGTTGCTGGTATTTTGGCCCATTCCTCCATGCAGATCTCTTCTAGAGCAGTGATGTTTTGGGGCTGTCGTTGGGCAACGCGGACTTTCAACTCCCTCCAAAGATTTTCTATGGGGTTTAGATCTGGAGACTGGCTAGGCCACTCCAGGACCTTGAAATGCTTTTTACGAAGCCACTCCCTTGTTGCCTGGGCATTGTGTTTGGGATCATTGTCATGCTGAGACAGACCCAGCCACGTTTCATCTTCAGTGCCCTTGCTGATGGAAGGAGGTTTTCACTCAAAATATCACGATACATGGCCCCATTCATTCTCTCCTTCACACGGATCAATCGTCCTGGTCCCTTTGCAGAAAAACAGCCCCAAAGCATGACGTTTCCACCCCCATGCTTCACGGTAGGTATGGTGTTCTTTGGATGCAACTCCGCATTCTTCTTCCTCCAAACACGACGAGTTGCGTTTTTACCAAAAAGTTCTACTTTGGTTTCATCTGACCATAGGACATTCTCCCAATCCTCTCCTGGACCATCCAAATGTTCTCTAGCAAACTTCAGACGGGCCTGGAGATGGACTGGTTTAAGCAGGGGGACACGTCTGGCACTGCAGGATTTGAGTCCCTGGCGGCGTAGTGTGTTACTGATGGTAGGCTTTGTTACCTTGGTCCCAGCTCTCAGCAGGTCATTCACTAGGTCCCCCCGTGTGGTTCTGGGATTCTTGCTCACCGTTCTTGTGATCATTTTGACCCCACGGGGTGAGATCTTGCGTGGAGCCCCAGATCGAGGGAGATTATCAGTGGTCTTGTAGGTCTTCCATTTTCTAATAATTGCTCCCACAGTTGATTTCTTCACACCTAACTGCCTACTGATTAGAGATTCAGTCTTCCCAGCCCGGTGCAGGTCTACAACTTTGTTTCTGGTGTCCTTCGACAGCTCTTTGGTCTTGGCCATAGTGGAGTTTGGAGTGTGACTGTTAAAGTTTGTGGAAAGGGGTCTTTTATACTGATAACGAGTTAAAAAAGGTGCCATTAATACAGGTAACGAATGGAGGACAGAGGAGCCTCTTAAAGAAGGAGTTACAGGTCTGTGAGAGCCAGAAATCTTGCTTGTTTGTAGGTGACCAAATACTTATTTTCCACCATAATTTGCAAATAAATTCTTAAAAAATCAGACAATATGATCTTCTGGATTTTTTTTCCTCATTTTGTCTCTCATAGTTGAGGTTGACTTATGATGAAAATGACAGGCATCTGTCATCTTTTTAAGTGGGAGAACTTGCACAATTGGTGGCTGACTAAATACTTTTTTGCCCCACTGTATGAAAATAAACAACCTTTAATTTTTCTTGTTTCTTGGCATTCTTAAATTAAGAAGTTGTACAAGTGGTCTTACTCTTAAAATGAGGCAAATAATCTTGTTGGTCCACTGAGTTTTATTGTAAAACCTTTGTATATCCTGTTACTGGTGTATTCTAGCTCAAAAGTAGCTGGAATATCTTATTAAGAAAAAGTTAGCCGTGCTTTCTTAAAATTAGATTATTTTTCCAATGCAAAACATGCTTGACAAGATTAATATTCTTTTTGGACAAAAAATGAGACTTATTTTCTTGATACAAGGCTTTTTTACTTTCTTGAAATTCCTTTTTTGCAGTGTGCTCTCCTCAAGTCTGTCGACCGTTACGCTGCCGCCGCCAACAAGCACCGCACGCCTGCTCCTGCCTACCAGGTTGGGCAGAGGGTCTGGCTCTCCACCCGTGACCTGCCCCTTAAGGTGGAGAACCGCAAGCTGGCTCCCAGGTTTGTGGGGCCCTTTCCCATCACTCGCATCATCAACCCAGAGGCGGTACGTCTTCGGCTGTCCCGCTCCATGAGGATCCACCCGACGTTCCATGTCTCCAGGATCAAGCCAGTCCCAGAAAGTCTTCTGGTTCCTCCCATGCCGCCTCCTCCGCCTCCTCAGCTCGTTGATGGCGGTCCTGTGTACGCTGTCAGGCGCCTCCTTCGCTCTCGCCGCCGTGGACGTGGTATGCAGTATCTTGTGGATTGGGAGGGGTACGGCCCAGAGGAGCGTTCCTGGGTGCCGGCCAGGAACGCTGTGGACCCTCAGCTCATTTTGGACTTTCACTGTCTGCATCCTGACCAGCCTGCCCCGGCCTCACATCCGCCTTCTGCGGGCCCATCTGCTGATGGACCTTCTGAATCTCTGGTGAGGGGGGGCACCGATGGGGCTGCCTCTTCCTGCTCATCTTCCTCTGCGGAGGATGGGGACTCTGCTGCCTCTGAGGAGTTTTAGCCCTCCTCGGGCCCCCGCCACCCTCCCGGCTCGGCCTGGGACGTCTGGAGCCGTCCCTTGCCGGGGGGGGTACTGTCACAATCCGGTCCTGGGTTTCCACCATACTGCCAGCTCTGCCAGTACTTTTCCGGACTGTCTGCCTCATCAGTGCAACCACCTTCACCTGTGTTCACTCACCTGATTTAAACCCACTCTTTCCTCTCAGTCTCTGCCAGATTGTCTTTAGTGTCATGCAAAGCTTTCCAGCGTTTTCTTCCGGACTGCCTCACTGGTTTCGACCCTGCCTGCCCCTGACTCGTCCTCATCGTTCCAGCCCCGGTAACCTGAACAGCCTTCTGCCTCTGACACCTCCGCCTGCCTGCCCTTGTCTGCCTCCAGTTTGTTGGGAAAATAAACTGTTGAACTGTTCATCGCTGGTCTCAGTCTGTGCTGTACTTGGGTCCAGCTTCACACCCATTACAAATACGGAGATGAAAGAGTTCACCGCTACACTGCCATGAAGGATTCTCCACTAAAGATCTGCATGATTTTTGCTAATGGAGATTTGTACAAAGACCTCCATGCTGGTTTGAATTCAGGATCTGAGACCAGAAAAACTCTCCACGGGGTGTCACTACGCCATCTCAGTGTTCTCTGATTTGAGGTTTTCACCATCAGTTCATAGAGAGTCTTTCCTGAAGCACCTACAGGGCCTACAGGCTCAAGTAGCAAACCAGAACAGTCCTTAAAAACAAGAAAAAGCGTATTGTCGTGTTCCGTCAGAAAAGTCAGTTAGAAGAGAGTACTCACGCTCTGTCAGCTTCTGTTTCCAGTGTTTCAGTAGTTGACTTGTGACTCTAATACACCTTAATCCAAGGTGATCAGCTAATCCAACAAAGTCTTCCAACTGAGGCCCAGCTAACTCCACCGCCTTCCCCGGAGTAGAACCCCTGCATTGTGAGGACGTCTGGATAGTGTAGGTCCTCCCCAGCTAGGACAATCCAGCAGTCCTCCAAATAGCACAGGCTCTTGTGGGAGCCAGTACAGAGAGTCAGCTTTCTGCTGCCTCTGCTTCCTCAGCAAAGTCCACACTGAGAAAACATTACTTTAAAAAACTGGTAGAGATGAGGTGCTCAACTTTGTACAGTCTGTCAGAAAAAAAGATAGATTTGTCACGCAGAGGCTCAATAGCCAAAGAATAGGGCATGCCAAACAAAAGACAGCCTTGTCTGATGCCCGTCTGAACATCGAAAGGAGCACTCAGCCCCCCATTCATTTTTAGAACACTTGCAATGTCACGATACAGAACCTGGATCTTGGCTATGAAACCTCGTCTAAACGAGGTTAGACAAGCAGCTGGAGTTCGCCATAGATACTGGTGTTCAACCCAGTCAAAAGCTTTTTTCTGATGTATGGAAATCAGACCAGTGTCTACAGCCAGTGAGCTAGAGACTTCCAAAACATCTCGGATTAAAGTGACATTGTCACTTATGAGCCTACCGGGCACACAGTATGTCTGATCAGTATGGATAACAGCAGCCATCACCTCTTGAAGTCTTGTGGCCAAGACCTTGAACAGTATTTCATAATCTGTGCAGAGGGAAACTGGTCTCCAGTTCTTCAGCTCCTACAGGTCTCCCTTCTTGGGCAGCAAAGTGATGACCGCACTCCTGTAGCTCAGAGGTAGCCGACCTCTCTGCAGGCTGTCTGATAAAACCTCCAACAAGTCTTCACCCAACACCGACCAAGAGGACTTGTAAAAATCAACAGAGAAACCGTCCAAGCCAGGAGTTTTTCCGCTCTGTAAACTAATAAGAACGGTGTACAGTTCATTGGGGGAAACACGAGCCTTCAAGTTTACACTGGCCTCATCATCCACCCGATGAAGACCAGTGAAGAAGCTGCTTCACACACCTGGATTTTCTGTCAGTTCACACATAAACAAGTCCTTGTAATAGCTGGCTGCAAGTTTCCTAATCTAAGAGGAATCTGATGTTGCAGAGCCACTGTCAGATCGCGGAGAGTTATTTTTCTTCTCCAGACCAAAAAAGAACTGAGAGGGGGCGCCATCTGTGTGACGTTGAGAAAGCATGATCTGACCAGAGCTCCCTGTGCTACAGTGCCCAGCAGGTTGGCCAGAGCCAACTTTGTAGATTTAATGGAGTCTAAAAGTCCTCGATCTCCTGTAGAAACCTTGCAGTTCTACCACCTGAGCCTGTCCAGGCCCCTCATAGATCTGAACTGTTGACACATCTGTTTTTTAGATCTATCAAAATCCCACCACTGTTTAGCACATGTTAAAAAGGATTTACAAATTCTGTGGTTAACCCAGAAATATCAAAAAACCATTCAAAAACATTGTCATGAAGCAAGGATATGTTGGAATGCCAATAAGAGCTTTTTAGATGGATATTCTTTATAAAAACAACAAACAAACAAGAAAGTTATCCGAAAAGCCCACTGGATTCATGTGAAAGCCATTAAAAATTTTCAAATGGTGTTTAAAAGAGTAGAAGCCATTCAGCCTGGCCAGAGATAACACATTGTCTTTACAGTGACTCCAGGTTTTTTTTTCAAAAACCTCCACACATCTGATAACTCATGTGCTTCAGTCAGCTGTCTAAGCCTGCGTGATGAAGCAACATGAGGTTCTAGATGATTCCTGCCAAGCTTTCGATTTTTAAAATCCCCTTTGTTTTAAAATTAAACAAATACTCATCACGATAACAGTTTGGGGTGGTGTTACACAGATTATTAGGCACTGCTAGTCTGTCTGCTCCACTGATTGGTGCATAAGCATTAACAAACAAAAGGTGAGAAGAGGAAACAAGAATAGAGCGAAACACACACAAATATTTTTTCTGTTTAACATTATCAGCTATTTCTGCTTTTGCTCTGACTACCAGTTTCTTTAATAGATTCCCTGGCCTGTTAGTACATCATCCTCAAAGTTAACTCTCTGAGTATGCCCACACATTCTCTTTATCTCTCTGTTGCAGTAGATACACTTCTTTTAGGTCAACATCCGCACACACTTATCACATTCCAATGTTATCTGCATGAATTAAGAGCTGGCCTCTTCATGTCAGAGGTAACTGGCCAATAACATTCTGATGTGTCCAGTCCAGTTTTGGGGGTCTTGCCGATTGAAACCCTCAGCTATGTCTGTGAGAGCCCAGCGCTGATATACTTGTATATACCTGTGAACAATAACTGTCATATTTGTACTCTTGATTTACTCTGGTATCTTCTCAGACTTCCAACTAAAGAAGTGGGTTAACAAAAGCCCTGGCTTGGCGTAGTCCTAAATTACATCAAATTGGCACAAAGCTTTTTTTGGCTAGTCTCTTCCTTTTCCTTATTACCTGTCCTTCCCTCAGTTGTGACATTTGGGCTTCCTGGTAGGTAGCTGTCTTTTCAAACATACTGTGTCGTTCCTTAACCATACTGTGTCGTTCCTTAAAGCCTGATCCAAGAATGAAACAAAACAGAAAATTACTTTTTTTTTTTGTTTGAATTCCTTATTTGACCTTTTAACAAAATATGTAAAAACAAAAATCAAAAATAAAATTTTAGTATGAATAATTTATTGCTATGCGATAAGCCAAGAATATTTTTTGTGTTGTCTTCTGCCCCCTGTTATCAGGTGTACCTGATTGTGTACAATATGATTTTGAGCAACGTTTTTACCATTAAATTATGCAAGAGGTGTCAGATGCTAAACATTTCAGAAACTGAATGTATCAAATATGATACATTTGGCATTACAGGGTTAAGCAGCTTTCCTCTTTTCATCCTCTTTAATGCTGGAACCTTAGGTGAAGCTTCCTTCTGTGGTAAGTGATTGTCAACCGCTATCTATTTGTAAATATTGAGATCAGTGAACTGAGCTCTGTTCGATGGTAGGGAGGCCTGATACTTGTGGTGACTCTGGAATGCTGAACCAAACAACATATTTGCAAATTAAGAGCTTGAATGTGAATTTGGTCGAATTAAAGCCTACCTGTTATTGTCACAGCCTGCACTTTCATGGTGGTACCCCAGATGCACTAAAGTGAACAAATAAAAGCCTGTTATAACATAAACACATTTAGATTACTCTTACTTACTATTTGTCTTTCTTAAAATGTTATTGATCTCCTCCACAGCTCAATTGCAATAATATGAAGGTGATGATGTCATTATGAGAATACTGGCAAATTTTAGGACAACCGATAATGGATGTCCTTTCTGAGGAGGTAACAACACCAGGTCTTGAGCAAAAGACCAGTACAGTTTTGCTCTAAAATGGCTTAGAAAAGCTGAAAATAGAAAAGTTGTCGGGTTTTGATTATTTACTAAATATATATATATTTACATGTTGTGTGCTGAAATGATAATAAAACTCTGAAATTTCTGTGAAAGTTATTGCAACTTACACTTTTTCAAAATAAATAAAAAAAATACAGGCTTGTCAACTTCTAATTTGAAAAGTGTGGAGTTGAAAGCATCCTTCCCGTGTAAGAAAATAAATGCAGGTCCTTGATATTCAGCCCCAAACAACTCAGATCACGCTGCCAATATGGAGGTTGAACGTATAAAGATGCTCTGATTACAACGGAAGGGGAGGTGAAACTTCTTACAAAGTCATCTTAAATGCAAGATATGAAGACTTACAAAACTGAGCCAACAGTTAGGGATGGGCTGGCCATCTAAAATTTATAATCAAATACATTTATCTATTTTCATAGGGAAACCAAATTTCAAACCAATAATTTTTTCAATAACATTTAATAATGTAGTGAAACGTGCAGTAAAAGGGGGTTTTTGATTTTCAGAAATCAAGATTAAATCATTTCAGTAATAGAAGGTTCTCCCACTCAGTTTTGCAAATCTAATCAGATTCGCAAAACTGGGTGGGATTTTTTACATTTTATTTCATTCTAAAATAAAATAAAAATCCTTTTGGCACTTTTAAAAACCCTATTAATGTACACATTACATTCTACACTTGGACACACTTGGAAACATGTCTATCCTAGAATTTCTTTGGTGCCTATTCATTTTTCGTTATCAGCTTTGTTGGCATGCATGTATTTACAATTGGCATTTCGTGTTTTTCAAAGCCAGGTCACTTTGCAATGGGAGGTGTGCTATTGCTGATCGCTCATGTTCACATCCAACGAGAGCATGTAATGCTTCGCTGATTGCATTAACCATGAATTATCACAATCAACTTTTCACATTGAAGTCTGCAAACTCATTCTTTTTGACAAGTATTTACCTCCATGATGATTGGTATTCTGTTCTATGTAACAATCATTCACAACACTGTGTTGAGGACATAATTGGATAGGGATATGAGTGTTCCGTAATCCTGTTTTGGTGCACACTCCCGACAGAGAAATCAGGGTATTTGGTACAAGAACACATTTCCACAAGCAAGTCTCAAGGTACAATTGTGTATGTTGTCTATCAAATACAAACAAAGCTGTGTCCAATAAATGTCATTTTTGTACTTTTTATCTACTCTGGTTTAACTCAGGTTTCCAACTAAAGAATCAAGTTACTCCTGTGCAGTAAAACGTTTTTACTTGTTACAAGAGAATTCATGGACAGTTGCGAAATTTGTTTGATTAACAGAACTGGCCTTTGCTCAGTCACATGATCTTCAAAAAGGGGTTAAACAATATGTTGTACAACCACCGACCCTGTTCATCCAACAGTGCGCATTCAATGGGAACTTATTTCTCTACTTCTGTGATATAATGGTAAAATTATTACATGCCATAACAGCATGAAAACATGTGCTGTTTATCACTTGGACGGAACAAGTAATGATTTTAACCTCATATTCTTTCATTCAAGATGACAAGCGTTTAGGTCCTTACATTGTGTATGTTTAGTTTTTGGTAAAAGCAAAGAATCCCCAGATTATGGAATTTGAGCTTCTTTGGCTACTCGAGTGGGCGGTGTCAGGGGTGTTACACCACAATAACTCGAGTCAATATCAACTGGAAACGGCGACAGACGAAAAACAACATTGGCCTCACCACTTTTCCACGGAGAACAAAACATGAAGTTTTTTAACCTTTTCGGACGCCTGAAATCCGTTGTCATCGGAATGGTTCACGTTCAACCTTTGCCTGGTACAGTATGAAATACTATAACGAGGCTGAAGTTGGCTTCCAATTCATGAATGGCATAAAGGGCAATTTCACTGCTTTTTATGCATTCTGGTCACTCAAAACGGGGTCCTGAATGAAACTACAGTAGCTATGGTGCGCAAATCTGGATATAATTATTCCAAGTAGACGGTAGTTTCAATAAAAGCGTCTTTGGGATTTGTGAAACCTTTTTCAGATTTGGGAAAAAAAGAGGGAGTTTTACTGCTTTTGTTGTATCATGATCACACTAAACTGGGTCCTCTATGGAAACTACAGGAGCTACGGTGCTCACATCTGGATGGAAATATTCTAACTCAGCTCTAGTTTCATTAAAAGATGTTTATTTTTGAATAGGTGTAATAACACATAAAGGCAAAACACTTCGGATTATATGGGCAAAAAAAAATAGGAAGTTGTGGCACAGTATAAAGGTAGATGGGATAATAAGAAGACAATTTCTAAAGACAAGTAAACAGGACTGTCACAAAGTATGGTGGAAATTTGACCACAATATGAAGCATACTTGTGGCTTATTGGCAAAAAAATTCAAACGAAGGATTAAAATAGAGTTTTCAGCCATAAAATGTAAGTAATTGCAATGATAACTACGATGGGGTAATTGAAGGACTGCAGACAAAAGATTTTACATTTGACCCAACTGTCAGTTGAAACTCTGAGCACCTCATTGTAAAGACAAACTAATTAATTTGTTATAAAAGATAAACTTGACCAAAGAGATTTGCCAAATGATGGATTAAGGGACTTTGAGACAAACTTGAGCCAAATAGACAGATTTAACTCTTATTATTACAAAGGCAAGTAATCACACTCAGAGACGGCCTAAACTGCTGCAAAACAGTTATTTTAACTGTGGTTTTACAGACATCTCAGATAGTGCTTATAGAGGGATGAGAAAGGTCCTGTCTGCATATAGATGGGAAGTGAAATGGCTGTGATAGGAGCAGTTTGCCATGCAGTGGTGATTTGGGTTGGGTTTGGTTTACTTTGGTCTTGTCATCTTTTCTCGTGAGTTCCCTGATTCCTGATTGTGTCCACGTGTTTCCCATTTACTCCTCATGTACATATATAGTCCGTGTCACGCTTTGTCCTGTGCGTGTGTGTTTCGTTTTGTTTTGATAAATCTTTTTATAAATCTTTCATAGCGTTTTCCTCCTAGTGGAGTGATTTTCTGCAGTTTTTCCTAGCCTCTCGGTTCCTCCATTTCCAGGCATGATTATTTCTGTAACGTTTTATAGTTTAGACTCCCTCCGCTTTTGGAGGGATTTTTGTATTGTAAATAATTTCATAGCCTTCTAGTCTCTCTCTGAAGAGTTTTTTGTCCAGTAAGTTAACTTTTCTTAGCTAGTTGATTTGCTCCTCTTTGGCGAGGTGATCAATAAAGACTTTTGTTCAAGAGATTTTTGCTCCTGCGTCCTGTGTCCTGTTGGTCCATGACAAAATTATGACACATGTTAGTGGACAGATTATTGAGATGACAGCAATATATTTGTGATGCAGATTTCATCAAAGCATCCAATGCAGAAAGGTGCATATTAATGGTAGAACTAAGAGATGTGTAATGCAGGCAACGGTAAAGACTCTGAAAGTGGTCAGAAATATGACAAAGACTGAAGTGGGGGCAGAGGTTGATCACAGGCAGAGGGAAGAGAGGTGACAGAACGTCAATCACTGTTTCTAGATAAAAGACCATAAGAAAGTCGACAAGTGAAGAAGACTCTATTCAGTAGTTCTAGTAATTATGTAAAATACTTGAAGTTCTTCTTTTTTCTATCTAGTGAAAGGCAGGAGCTCGTCATGGAAATTAAATGAACATTTGCGGACAAAAAAGGTTTCCATAATTCTGAAGTGGCTTTGATATAATCTATATAATTTACTCAATAATAAAGCTCATATTTGATTTTTTTTCATACAGGCTCTGGATTTTGGTGGTCCAAATGAGAAAAATGAAGTCCTCACAAATCAGACATGTGTTTTAAAGTCTCTCTACCCTATTTAGAATATTTCAATCCAGATTTGAGCGTAGCTCCTGTAGTTTCTATACATGACCCAGTTTAGTGCGATCATATTGCAAAAAAAGCAGTCATTTGCACTGTTTTGCATTTTCAAAAATCAGGAAAGGGTTTTAAAAATCCTTAATCTACAGCCAATTTACAATAATTACATCCAGATTTTAGCAGTGTTGCTACTGTAGTTCCCAAACAAGGCCCGGTTTTGAGTGATCAGAATGCATGAACTGCATTTATGCCATTCATGAATTGTAAACCAACTTCAGCCCCGTATGTCTGTCTGTCTATCTATTTTTTCACAGTTTATGAGGCTGATAGATCATTTATTTGCTGCTGTAACATGAGAATATTGTCTTTTCACATTGATTTATGCATTCTGTATTTGTAATTGGTGCCATTTTAAATGTTATATCACTAGCCATACTATCTATTTCAGGTACACCTCTAGGTTGTTTAACAATATCTCAGATCATTGAAGAGGCATGCCATGAAGTAGAAATCTACCGTGATGCAGGGGTGGTAAGCTTGACATAAAAGTTTTGAATGAAAATCAATTAAAGTCTTCTTTTTCAGTTACTTATTACTTCTGAAAACTTTCAGGATGGCTTGATTATTGAAAATATGCATGACATACCTTACTCATTTGGCGTTGGCCCTGAAGTTTGTGCATGTATGACTGCAATCTGCACTGCCGCGAGAAGCATCTGCTCATCTCTGCCACTTGGAGTTCAGATTTTGTCTTCTGCCAACCATCAGGCATTGGCTGTTGCTCTAGCTTCAGGTATTAATGTCAAATAAGGTAATTTATATTTGAGCAAAATGGAGCAGTCTTTTTTAAATAATTAAAATATTTTCTATGAAAAATTGCAGAATCATATCTAGCTTTCTTATTACACTTTCTAAATGTACTTTTAGTGAGGAATGATATGAATTGAAATAGTGTATTTGTTCATTAGTCACTAATGACCAAAGCAAAGGTTACCTAGAATGATCCCTCACTTGATATATTGATTTGTGCTTAGTTGTCCAGCTTTATTGTGAAACTGTTTGGGACCAGGTCTGGACTTCATCAGGGTGGAAGGCTTTGTCTATACTCACGTGGCAGATGAGGGCCTCTTGAATGCCTGTGCGGGGGACTTGCTGAGATATCGCAAGCAAATTGGAGCTGACCATGTGCAGATCTTTACTGATATCAAAAAGAAGCACAGGTGAGATCACCATGTGTGTAGTCGTTTTAGTAAGTAGAATAAGATGATCAACTGATAATCAAAAATATAACATAGGCATCAAAGACTGTATGTGACTCTATTATATGTTTCCATGATGCACTGTTCCTAACCCATGTTGGGAATAGAGGCTTCATATATCACCACATAAGACTTTATGTTTCCTCAGTGAAACTTCATAAAGTACATGTTTTGCACAGGCTTACTTTCTACCTCATCTTTCCTCCATAAAACCTCATATTGCACAAATGTATGTTAGAATGCACTCACTGATCCTTTCTCAATGAAATGTCATACTATGCATGTAAGCACAAACCTTCTCCCTCATCTATCCTCAATGAAACGACATCATGTACATGTGCATGCACCTGCTCTGTTCCTAGTTGTTAACACCACAGAGTTGACTGGCTTCTGCGTTGACAAGATCATCTTCTATATGGCTTTTCATTATGTAACCATATGACAATTACACACGGAATTAGCATAAATGATAAGCAGGTTGTTAGGGTTTGTTTAGTTTTCTGAGGGGTTTTAGGTTAGGTGTTTCGAGTTTCCTAGTTTACTGGGTAGGCCATAGGCTAGCTATTCTATCATGTCATCCCGTTCCAGTATTATGGGTAATAAAATCTGTTTATATTGTCTTAAAGTTTATCATACCAGCAAGCTTACATTCAGTTTCCACACGCAGAAATCCTGCAGTATTTTAACAATTCAAGCGTGAAGTTTGCACTAACTTTCCGTCCGCCATATGCAAATGATGTGAACTGTTCACATCCCGGATATAGTTCTGACCAATCAGCGCATGGCGATTACTACGCCACGACGTCAGTGAGAAGGCTGGCATGTAAACAAAGATGGCTGCGCCCTGTAAGCAGCAGCGTGGATCGCATGATAAAGACGAAAATCCTGTTTGCTGCATGCACATATTAGATAATTGTATCGAAAATACCTGCGTTATAACTCGAGCAAGATGGGACACCTTCAGAAAGATCGCAAAAGAGTGGATATCGCTGAAAGGGAGAGAGTGCAATGCCGTGTTGTCGATCGTACACACGTTGGATAAGGAATACAATGAACTGGAAAAGCTGCCCTACTATCATCCCTCCTGTTACAAACGGTTTACAGACAATCGGCAAATGTTCTACGCCAAGAAAAGACAGCAACAAACACAAGAATCAGCTAGTAGCGGTGAGTACATTCATATTATTATTGAGATCTTGTGTAGCCTTCATAAAGCCGAACATATTACTTTTAGGTCATCAATTAAATTCAATTATCAACACAAGTCAGCTTAGCTACAGCAAACAGAGACAAATTACAAAATGAAATGAAATAAAGATATACAATCAGGGATTTGAAGGCCGATTTGAATATAATAGATTATATCAGATTAAATGAATCAATAATTCATGCATTTTTTGTGCCATCCTCATCATAATGATCATGGACCAGATTATTTTCTGATTGGCCTAAAAAGGCTGTAGGCATGACAAGTATATGTTGTTAGATTTTTTAACCATTGTCAAAATCATTAGCCTAATGACACAAAAATATAAAGAGAAAAAGTGTAGCAAACACTACATAGGCCCTACAGTGAATGTTGTTGTTTTGATCTTACTATGAAGACGTGCATGGATCAGAATGGCAGTTTGTTCTTGTTCGATAGTCTAGTACATCTTTGGTTAGTGAATGATTTAACCTATGAAAATGATTTCTGAAAGCTATTCATTATTCCATATTTATATAAATTTTTACCGGGTATTACTGTTTTATTTCCAGATAGTGCTGGTCCATCTCCTAAAAGATTGCGTTCCAAAGGTGACATACGGGTACATGGTTCGTCTGCAATTCTTCCCGAAATCTGTTTGATTTGCAAGAGGAAGAATAATTTCATCACAAAACAGGGGAAAAGAGTAAAGGACAAGTTAGCTAAAGCAGAAACTGCAAATTGTGGTAGGTTTACATCTTGTATTGTACTTGGTGTGAGTTGTGGTTATCTATTTTCAGTGTCTTAATTCATTATTTTGAAAATATAATTGGTAACACAAATGCAATATAACAGAATACCATTTAAAATTATTATAAGTATGTAGACATTAAGATTATCATTTGGCAAATGTTTTGCCATCATCCTTACCCTGGTCGAAACATAGTAATAATATTTTCTTAAATGAGTTAGAATTATCATAATAATCTCGAATACATATGGACTCTTTTCCATTATTTTGAATTCAACCTTCAATCAAATTAATTTTGTATTTTATCCTTTTACATTTTATTTCTTTTTGTGCTTATAAAAATACTAGATAGACTATGTGTAATCACTTTTCTTTTTTTATTAAACAAAGGCCTGACCAGTTTTTTTTGCACATTGTAAGGTGCTGTTTTAAGTGTACTTATTTGAATTTTTATAATTCTTTCCAGGACGACTTCGTGATGCAGCAGAACTGAAACACGACGAGTCTATTCTAATGCATATACGGGATAAAGACTGTGTTGCAGTTGAGGCCAGGTACCATCATAGCTGCTATCAGTCTTACATTCGCTTTCTTACCAAAAGTCAAGATGAAAGTTCAGTGAGATATGTATCAATGACAAATTCAGCATTGAACCTAAATGACTCTAATGAAATCATTTGTGTGGCCAAAATGGTCCACATATTTTGTTTACTAATATGTGATATAGATCTAAGCATGCCTCTTGTTCACATAACCATATTGTGATAAAGAGTCCTGATACTGATGTTGCAGTAATGGCCTTATCACATAGTACCTCGATGCAAGCTAGTCTTTACTTCATCACTGGGACCAAAAACAAACTAAGGATGATAGATCTCAAAAGGATTGCCAACACTTTGTCCTTAGAAGAATGCCAGTCTCTAATTGGTCTCCATGTCTTCACCGGTTGTGATTCTGTCAGCTCCTTCTATGGAAAGGGTAAGGGAAAAACATTCAAGATTGCCATCAGTGACACAGAGTTTATCAAAGCCTTTTGTGACCTCGGAAACAGCTTTGATATGGATGACAACACACTGACCACTTTAGAAAGATTTGTGTGTAAACTTTATGGACAGAATGTGGAAAGTGTGAATGAAGCCAGGTACTGTGTATTTCGAGTCAGCGGGAAGTCAACTGAGCAAAGTCTACCACCTACCTCCGATGCTCTTAAATTGCACACACTAAGGGCTAACTATCAAGCTGCCATTCATCGTCGTGCTCTGCAGCCAGTCATATCTGCACCGTCACCAGATGGCCATGGTTGGAACATCCACGAAAAACAGCTGTCCATCAATTGGATGACCAATGATCCTGCTCCTAAAGAGGTGCTTAAACTTATTAGCTGTAAGTGCAAAACTGGACAATGTGACACTAAACGATGTTCATGTAAATCTTCCAACCTTAAATGTACAGATTTATGTGGGTGCAAGAACTGTCAAAATGTTACTGGAGAATAGGAGATTCTGTCTAGTGATGATAGCGAGGATGATGATTGTACAATCTAGTCTGAGGGATAGAGACATTTGGCACCAACCAATAGACTTTGTGGTCATAATTGACATTGATAATGATGCCTTATTATACCTTGTAGATTTTGTAATTTTTTTCTTAATATTAAAATTCCTATTGATTGTGAAAATTGAAGTGTTTACCTTTATTGAGATAATTGCAGTTAAAGATGCTATTGTTGGAGGCCCAAAATTTCCAAATATGTTTAAACCACACCTCCAATACGTCCGATATTTTAGGGGTTGATTATTTGTAGGACCCTCCACAGATCTACCAAGTTTGAATTGTCTGGCTGTATTTCTTTTGGAGGAAGTTAAAGATTCTATTAGAGGCCAGAAATCTAAAAATTACATGCATTTTCCAAATAAGTTTATTTCAGAACCGCTTTTTCAAACAGGCCAATATTTAAGGGACTATAATTTGTAGGACCCTTTACAGATCTACCAAGTTTGAAGTGTGTGGCTTAATTACTTTTAGAGATAATTGAAGTTAAAGATTCTATTAGAGGCCAGAAATCCAAAAATTACATGCATTTTCCAAATAAATATTGGCCGGTTTGAAAAAGCGGTTCTGAAATAAACTTAAGGGACTGAATATTTGTAGGACCCTTTGCAGATCTACCAAGTTTAAAGTGTGTGGCTTAATTACTTTTAGAGATAATTGAAGTTAAAGATGC